GAGCACGATCCGCTCGGAGGGCTCGATTCCGGCGTGGTCTCCTCTGCGGAGGAGAACCCCCGGAAGGTGCTGCCTGAAAGTGTGGGGGTAAAAAGCCAGTTGTCAAAATACTCCGCTGGCATGGGCCTGTGTGGGAAGAGTGCATGGAACTCGTCTTTAAGAAGAGGTTCCTCCAGAGCATAATCTGGCACCCAACTGTTGGCGCTGGCCGGGGTACCTTCCCTGGCGAGGAGGTATTCCACTCCCTCCTCCCCCCATCTCGAGTCCAGAATTTCCGTGACCTCGTTGAGTGTCGGGGTCCTCGGTGACTTCCCCGGTGACTTTCTACGTGGGTCTGGTGCCGTCCCTGGCTCCTGAAATCTGTGTGGGGCCTTGTAGGGTGTAAGCACCGACCTATGAAAGACCGGGTGCATTCGGGAATCTTCTGGGAGGGTCAACCGAAACGCTACGGGATTGATCCTGCCCTCAACTTGGTATGGCCCTAGCTGTTTGTGTCCTAGCTTCTTCTTAGTTAACGACTTGGCCGGCACCGCCTGGGCTGCTAACCATACCCAGTCCCCCACCTGGATGTCTTCTCCTGCCCTCCTGTGCCTGTCTGCCTGCACTTTGTAGGCGTGTTTAGCTAGTTCCAAGTGCCGTCGTAGCTCCTCGTGGACCTCCTGCAATTCTGCTGCTAAATGCTCCGCTCCCTGCGACTCCCCCTGCGTCGTTGTCTCCAACGCCGGGAAGGTTCTGGGATGTCGCCCATTGTTGGCGAAGAACGGTGTCACCCCGTTGACGCGTGCTTCGTGTTGTTGTAAGCAAACTCGGCCATCGGTAAGTAGTCCACCCAAGTTGCAGGCTTTTGATTGGCGTAACATCGCAGGTACTGCTGCATGATGGCGTTGACCCTCTCCGCTTGGCCGTTGGTTTGCGGGTGTCTCGCCGACGCTAAGTTGATGTTGACATTCAGGATGCCCAGGAGCTTCTGCCAGAAACTGGAAATGAATTGGCGACCCCGGTCGGACAGGATGGACCGCGGTAAGCCGTGCACCCGGAACACGTGGTCTATGAACAGCTTGGCGGTCTGTTCCGCTGTTGCCACCTTCGCGCAAGGAATGAAGTGCGCCATCTTGGTGAACAGATCTACAACCACAAGCACCGCCGTCTTGCCCCGCGAACTGGGCAGATCAGTAACAAAGTCCAGCGCCACCCTTTCCCACGGCTGCAGTGGCGTCTCCAGCGGTTCCAGCAATCCCGCTGGCTTCTTGTGCACTGGCTTGGAGCTCTGACAAGTGTCACACCTGGCGACGTAATCCGCGACCTCTCCCCGCATCTGGGGCCACCAAAAGTCTCTGGCTACTAAGTCCGCCGTCTTTTCTTTGCCGAAGTGACCCGCGCTGGGGGCGTCGTGTAACTGCTGTAAAACCTTCGCGCGGAGATCGTCTCCCGGCACGTAGAGAGCACCTTTGCGGGTCAGCAGGCCGTCGTGTATCTGGAATTCGCCGTCCTTGCTGTCCCTCTTCGCACCTCCTCCATCTTGGATTGTGCGAACGGATCCGTCTGTAGCGCGCGTCGTACCGCGTCCAGGTCCACGGCGGCGGAAGCGCACGCCCACGCTTGCGGTGCGAAAATGTGCCTGGCTGCCACTGGTGCCGCTTCCTCGAGATACTGCGGTTTCCGGAGAGCGCATCCGCTATGACGTTGTTGTCTCCCGGGATATACTCTATCCGGAAATCGAAATCCGCAAAGAACTCCGCCCATCTCATGTGCCTCTGGCTCTGGAGCTTCGCCGTGCGCCAATACTCTAGGTTCTTGTGGTCCGTGCGGACCTGCACGGTGTGCTTGGCTCCGATGAGGAAGTGCCGCCACGCCTTGAAAGCCGCGTGGATGGCCAACAACTCCCTGTCCCAGATGGTGTAGTTCTGTTCCGACTTGCTGAGCTTCCGGGAATAGAAAGCGCAGGGCCTCCAGTTCCCTTGCGGATCTTCCTGCAAGAGGACGGCCCCCACTGCTCTGTCAGATGCGTCAGTCTCAACCCGCATGGGCCTGCCGGGATTCACGTGTAGCAGCTGGTCTTCGGACGCGAAGAGACTCTTAAGTCTCCGGAAGGACTGCTCCGCCTGGTCCGTCCAGGTGAACTTTTTCTTCTTGGAACTGAGGGTGTCCGTGATAGCTGCCGTCTCTTTCGCGAAACCCCTGATGAACTTGCGGTAAAAGTTGGCGAAGCCGACGAACCTCTGGACCTCCTTCCGATTGCGCGGGCTATTCCAGTCCAACACCGCGCGGACTTTGGCGCTGTCCATGGCTTTGATAAATTCGTCAGAGTCCCTGCGTGCAAGACCATCTTCGCGCCACAAATTGCGTAACCAGGTTCTAGCTTCCCCATGCAAATGGGACACAATAAAGCCTACTTTCTCCTCCTCATCTTTGAAGTCTTTTTGAAGCAAATGCAGCGCGTATACGACGTCTGCTCTGAAATTGGGATAATGCTTCAGGTTCCCATCGAAGTGGGCTACTAAATTGCCCCCCCTCCGTCCGAGTCCGATCCCTCTGATCTGGACCCCGGGAACCCCTCTTTGCACGCCCGATCCCACCTGGCTTGCAGATCCTGGCATCGCGCTTCTGCGTCGGCAACTGTCTTCTGAGAGACCCGTACTGCAACGGAGAGTTCAGTAACTGCGTTTTGCAGGGTCGTTATCTGTTCCTCAGTAGTCATGTCTGCCAAACTCCGTGAGCTTTGCAAAAAAAAACTTTTTGCGGTTTTTTAGAGAGGGGACTTACTGTCAGGGCTGCCTCAAGTCTCAGCTCACAAAAGACCAACGCCTATCTCTTCTTATATACAAAAGTGTTTATTGCAGTTCATTGTTTGCTTGACATCCTAGGCGCGCAGCCCTACGTCTGCTACGCTTAGACCGCTGAAGTCCCCTCTGAATCCGTCCCTCCCCTGCACCAGTTTAAGAGGCTTGCGCTGCTCCACCTCTTTCTCTCTTTCCTTTTCCGCAGGGTCCTTCTGCCCGCTGGGGTTTCGCCCCTCCTGGATTCCTCTGACGCGGAATCAGACTGCTCTTCCCCCCCTCCTGCGGGCTTTGGGACCTGGCCCCTCCTCCGGGCTCCCTGTACTTCCGCGCGCCTCTACATTTGAACTTGGCGCGCGCCCCCAACCTCTAACCTTCCTTTCAACAGCTACACTACTCCCTTCACTACTCCCTCCCTTCCGGGAGGGTGGCTTGCTCCGACCTCCCTCCCTTCTCTGCTGCTGGAGCTGCTTCCCTGATACACTGGAACCTCCACCCCTTCGCTGCACTCTGGCGGGAGGCTGGTCCTGACGCCCAGCTGCCACTTTGGGATGCCCCGCTGGCCCCTGCTCCTGACACTTCCCCCTGGGGCTCCCTGGCCTTGACCACCGGCGCCCCTTCTGGGAATCCTCTGATTCGCTGGAAAGACTCATGGAATCTCTTGAGTCATTGTCATCCTCTTCCTCGCTGTCCTGGGATTCATCCCCATCGCTCTCCATCTCCTGCCTACCCTGTGCCTCTGTCCCTGAACCCCTGACAGTATATAACAGATAAAGTACAATGAGAATACTTGGAAGTCTTTTTACTGTAAATGTTTGCAGCACTTTTTATTTCTAATTGTGTGAATAATCATTGCACTAACAAAATACTTACTGTTGAGGAATTTCATAATTACATATGTTTTTCCTCTTCTTTTTTCCTTGATTTTTATACAGTTGTCGTTATCTCATGTTTTTCTTTTCTTTCTTTCTTATGTTGTAAGCTTGTAATGGCAAATACTGTATGGATGTATTCATTTTAACTCAATAAAGATTCTGTACCCCCCAAAAAAAAACCCACACACAACAACAATTTGTTGTTGACAAAGGACAGCTGGACAGATCAAGGGCCCCATGACCTTCAGTAGCTGAGGGCCTCATCAAACCTAAATCCGGCCCTGCTGGATTGCGGGATTGCCAACAGGCACAGAAAGAACAGCACAATTCTGAGGATCTGAGAGAGGGAGCCACTCCCATCGCATAGGAGCCAAGCATTTAAGATCAAAGAAAGTGAAAGAAAAGATGCACATTAATTCGCCGGCAGTTGACAACCCACAGGAACCCTGTGCCCTCTTTGCCACCTTCTAGTTGAGTTAGGAAATTTTTTGGATAAAAAGAACCACATACTTTCCCTCCAGAATAAGTTGGGGAAGGGGGATTTTCCCCAAGCTAGCAAGAAACTTGCTAACAGTTAGAGACAGCTCCTCTAATCCTCCGGCTGGAAGATGCCCTAGGAGAGATGTTAGAGGAGAGACAGACAGACAGACTCACACTGAAGGATCCTCTGACCCACTGCCTGGATGATGCCCAGGAGGAGAGACTCTGGAGCAGCTGCTTTGCTCAGGAGGCAGGGAAGGGTAACTAAGATCTGGAAGCAGCTGAGCAAGAGGGTTGGTACTGGGTGGGTGGAGCATTGGAGCATGAGGTGAGACGGCAAGGGGGGGGAGGTACACTTTTATTTTTAAAAATTCTTATAGTATTACATTCCCCAAAAAAGAGAACATCTCCTAACATCTCTTCCTTTACATTCTGTAAATATATCTCCATATATCATTGTACATCCCCCCGTTACTTCCCTCCCCCTAAATCAGGCATGTCCAAAGTCCATTTAGGAAGCCCAATCTGGCCCACTGGTCGGTTTAATCCAGCCCCCGTGGCAGTTTATTTCCAGGGGTAAAATCCTTAAAAAGGTTCAACAAACAACTTCAACAACTTCAAACTCAACAACTTCAATCCTAGGGGGGCGTGGCATGCTTGGCTGAGGGGGAAGAGGCTGAGCTCCCAGTGAAATGTGGAGATAATTATTAAAAAATGCCTTCCTTCTCATGAAAAAGCTGGAAAATAACAAGCCCGAGAAAGTTTATGACCTAGTCTGCTTAATTGCTGGAGGAAATGCTTTGAAGGCAGATAGAGTGGGAGTACGAGAAAAATTTATTCTCAAGTGCAGTGTTTGGGAGTGAAAGAAATGGCGGCTTCGGATTTGGAGGTCAAGACCGAAACAGAGGTAATTAAGCCTAAAGCTTTTCAAAAAGAAATTAAAAAAGCAGTAGAAGGTGTAAAGAACAGTATTACAAAGGCTATCACAAAAGTAGAAGATAAACTCTCTAAATTGGCAGAGACAGTAGAACTGATAGCAGAAAATGTTAATGCTGCTTGGAAATTGGCACAGGCCAACAAGGAAAAAATTAAGGTATTGCAAGAGCAGACCAGGAAACTGAAGACAAATAATGAGTATGTTAATGATAAATTAATGGACTTAGAAAATAGAGCCAGAAGGTCGAATTCACGTCTAAAAAATGTCCCGGAGACAGAAGATATGGAGAAAGTGGTTGAGTGGATGGCCAATTTGTTGCCGGAATTGGGAATTTCGAAAGACTCGCTCAACCGCATACATAGGGCCGGGAAGCTGAGAAATGAGTCAAATTGGCCGAGAGACGTGATAATGCGCTTTGGGAGATACACACACAGAGAGCAGGTATTCAAGGCGTTGAAAAACTTGGATAGACTTGATAAACTGTTGTATAATGGCAAGAAAGTGATGGTCTTTGAGGACTTATCTCTGGAAACAATTAAAAGGAAAATGAATTTACGGGCATTTACCATGGTGCTGCAAGAAAAAGATATGAAAAACAATTGGAGAATGGCACCATTTGCTTTAAGAATGCAGTATAAAGGAGAAACATTGTATGCAAAAGATCAACAGCAGATGGTGGCGTTATTTAAACATGTGGGATTGCAGTTACCCAAGGACTTTAAAGGGACTCCAGACTTGGAAGAAAATGACTTAAGAGAAGAAAGAGAACAAACTCAGGGGTGGCAGAAGAGGAAGGAAAAGAAGACTGAGAAAAAGTCATGGGATTTCAGAGACAGAGTGAAATATAAGAAGTGAAGAATCCATGAAGACAGAAGGCAGGAAGAAAGAGTACCGGGGCGGCTCGAGGGGGCTGTTTTTTCTTTCTTCAGACTAGGGGAACTTGCAAACTCCCTTCCAACTTAACCCCCCCCCCCAATATGGGAGTGAATGTGGGTTGGATGAGTGTGGTGTGGTGTGGTGTGGTGTGGTGTGGTGTGGTGTGGTGTTGTGTTGTGTTGTGTTGTGTTGTGTTGTGTTGTGTTGTGTTGTGTTGTGTTGTGTTGTGTTGTGTTGTAAGGGGAGTTATAATGTGTGGGATGTGGGTAGATATGGATGGGTTGGAAGTGAGGCTAAAAAAGAGGAGAGGAGTAATTGGAAAAATAAATGTGAGGATGAATGGAAGCATATTGGGTTGTACTCCAGGTGCAAGAAGTGTGCCTAGAATTGCGGCACACAGTTATTTTCTTGGTTTTTTGCCTGGATTTTTTTGTGTGGGGGTGGAAGGGTAGGGCTCACAAAAGGGTTAGTTGGGAGGGGAGTGGGGTTTGGTTTATCTCCAGACGGGAATGGTACAAAAGGAGGAAAAAGGAGAAGTGATATGATTGGGAAAGACATAATAAAGAATGTGAATGTTATGTGTACAACTCTTAATGTGAGAGGTTTAGGTAATCAGGTGAAGAGAGTGAGGATTGGGAAGTATATTCAAGAACTGAAGGCTGATGCTGTATTTTTGCAAGAAACATATAATGGGGGGGGGGGGGGTTACGGTAATTTTCCTGACTTTGGGAAAGGGAAAAATTTATGGCTTCTGGAACTTCGAAAAGTAGAGGAGTGGGAATTGTAATTAAATCCAAAGTTGACTTTGTGGAGAATAAGGTGTTAAGAGATAAGAATGGAAGGTTTGTTTTTGTTCAAGGCTGCTTGGAGGGAGAGCCGGTGGCATTAGCGTCAATTTATCTTCCTAACAAGCACCAGCTGGATTTTCTTTGTAAGCGTTCACAGAAGATAGAGAAATTCTCGCCTCATTCAAAAGTAAGGGGGGGGGGGGACACTTTAATGTTGATTTCTGAGGGGGAAATAGTTCCAAAAAGGGAAAGGGTGTGAAGTTTAAAAAATTGTGTGGAAAGTTTGGATTATTGGAACTATGGATGGAGTTGTTCCCCAAGGATCACTCATATTCATTTTATTCTAGCCCACATGAAACATTCTCAACACTGTATGGAATTTTAATATTGCAAGTGGCTAGGGAATGGGTGAAGGGAATGGATATTGGAATGATTAAGATCACTGACCATGCCCCTATATCTGCCTTCTTTCAAATAGGTCATATTAATAGGTCCTATTCTTGGAGGTTTAACCCTTGGTTGGTAGCTGATGAGCAGAGTAAGTTTAAAATTAAAATAGCGTTAGAAAGGTATTCTGAGGAAAATAAAGACCCAGATATCCCATTAACAACAAAATGGGAAGCAATGAAGGCAGTCATTAGGGGAGAATGTATTCAGAGCCTGTCAGCGTTAAAAAAAGGGAAAGATAGAAGGATAAAGGAGGTAGAAGAGGAGGTCAGGATATTGGAGGAGAAATTTAGGATGTCAAAGCAAAAGAAGGATAAGGAAAAATTAGACCAAAAGAGAGAAGAGTTGAAAGTTCTAGATATAAATAGAACTACATTAAATATATGGTACAGTAAACAAAAATATTATGAATTTGAAGGGAAAGGAGGGAAAATATTAGCAAACAAAATTAAAAATTATCAGGTAAGGAAAAATATTAGAGCTATTAGAGATAATAAAGGGGAATTGGAAACTGACCCTAAGAAAATATTGGAGACCTTTTTAGGTTTCTATAATAGATTGTATGCAAATAAAGGAATTAAGGACGAAGAGGTGTATCAATTTTGTGAAGGATTGGAACTCCCAGAATTTAATGAAGAAAATAGAAGGGAATTGGATAAGGATATATCAGAGGAGGAAGTTAGATCAGCAATCGACTATGAATCTGCAATCAGCACCAGGCGTGAAATTTCAACAGGTGGTTGAGGCAATATATATGGAGTCCAAAGCAATGGTAGGAATTGGTGGGTCGGCAGGCTGCTCAAGTGCTAAGTGATACAAAGCAAGGATGCCCACTTTCTCCCATGCTCTTTATTTTAGCACTGGAACCATTAACAATTAAACTCAAAAAGGATAATGAGATTAAAGGATTTGAAATCCCCAGGAAAGGGAGAGCAGAGGGGGAGTTATTGACAATGTATGATGGTGACGGTTAGGGACTTGGGGACCGCAATGGTGCCTTTAAAAAGAATTTTGCAAGGGTTTTTCAAAGGTATCAGAGTTATAAGTTAATTTTAATAAATCATCAATGATATGTTTAAATGTGAAACCTAAAATTCAACTAGAAGCCTCTAAATTATTGGGTATTCCTATAGCAAATAAGATGGTAAAATATTTAGGGATAAGGATAACTAAAAATGCAAAGACAATATTTGAATATAATTATTAAACAACTTGGAGCGGTATTCAGTCAAAGTTGAAAATATGGGGACTTCCTGGTTGGTGACGTGGTATGGCAGTCATGGATTCTTTCGGCTGAAAGAATTCCAGCACTTTGAAGAAGGGAGAGACTGTGAGAGCTACACAGTTCCCCATTAAAAACCTCAGATCGGGCGTTCTGAGGACTTGGTTTATCCGGCAAGCCTTATCTGCGACTCCTCCAGTCCCCGGTAAGCTCGTAAGAGCTCTGAGAGTGAGTGGGGTAGAGACGCGGCTCAGCGGAAATGACTGCTCGCTTCGAAGCTGCGAAGCTCTGAGACTGGCAACCAGCGGTGATCAATTCCTCCATAAAAAAGAATAAGCAATTCGGAACTGTAAGTACTCCTAAATCAATCTTAGAGCTATCTGAGAAGATAAGGGAGATATGGAAAAAGGAGGTCGTTCCCTTTTTGTTGAACAAAAATATGAATCGGCGTGCAAAGACCGAAGCCTAAAAGTAAAGAAAAACTTTTAAAACTGGAAGTGAATTTTCCCCTTTCCCTTCTTTGGGAACATAGGGGTGTGTGAATGATTTATTACAATTGGAAACTTGCCTAATTAGACTGAGATATCCTCTTTTGGCAGCGGACCAGCCGAGAGGAAAGGCTAGTCTCCATGGTGATTTTATAATGAAAGTGAATAAACTTAATCTCCACCTCGACTGAACAGTTTATAAATTGTCCTGCACTAACTAGTAACGTTCTAAAGTGATAAAAACTGTCTTACCTCCTCTCAAGAAAGAGAGTTTTGGATAAACTTCTCTCTGCCATATTTTTTGTTGTGACTGAAGCAGTTTTAAAGACTAAGGAAGCTGCTTTCGATTTGGCTGGTGGAAAGGAGAGAAACTGTTTTTCTCCATTGTTCTGGCAGACTGTGGGATTGACCTTGACATTCCTCAGTTATGACTTCAGAAAAAGAAAAGCCTAGACGTGGCTCTAAAGCAACGACGCAATTTGAGGAGTCGGTATTGTCAGCATTAAATGATATTAAAGAAGGACTGGACCGCAATACAGGCGCTGTAAATAAATTGGAAGAAAGGATTAACCAGTTAAGCACCGATATGCAAGTTGTCAAAAAGCAAATTAATACACATGATGAAAGATTGATACAACTGGAGAATGTCCGGGTCCAGGACCTGGAACATTTGCAACAGGAAAATGCAATAGCTATAGCTTATTTACAGCTGGCCGAGAAACAATCTCATCTGAGATTGAGAGGATTTCCTAATCTGGAACAGGATCATGATAAACTCAGAGAATGTGTGATAAAACATTTTGTTGAATTCTGGGATCTGAAAAAAGAGGAGGTTGAAGACTGGGTGGAGAAAGCTTATAGATTTGGACCTAAAAAAGAGACTAAAATAACCTACGGCTGTATTGTGGTCTTTAAGACCAGGGAACAAAGAGATATCATCTTGGGACATCACTATAAAAAAGGCCTCAAAGTCTCTGATAAAGCAGTAGTCCTTTTTAAGGAAATTCCTAAGTTTCTTTGGAATTTGAGATCCCAGTACAAGGATTTAACAGACATTCTGAGGAGAAAGAACATTTTTTTCAGGTGGGAATTTCCAGAGGGCCTATCCTTCAAATTTAAAAGAAGAAAGCAAAAGATTAAGAATCTTCAGGAGAAGGATAGATTTATGCAGAAGCACTCGGCAGAACTTGGATTGCAAACTCCACAGCTGCGGGGAGCGGAGGCAGCCTCCCCGTAAATAGACAATATGGCGTTGAGAATTTATTCATGGAATGTTCATGGCATGAACCTGCCACAAAAAAGGAAAAAAATTATCATATTTAGGAGAAACAAAATTTGGACATAATTTGTCTACAGGAAACCCACATTACAAGATTACATTAAAAAATTCTAATAAATAAAAGATTGGGTCAAGAATTTATTTCTTCTGACAAAGTCAAAAAAAGAGGAGTGGTTTTCTACATCAAAGATAAATGGAATCCAAAATTTGCTTTCAAAGATGAGGAAGGAAGATATATCGCAGTTGAAATTTCAGCACAAGGCGAGAAATATTTGTTATTAGGAATCTATGCACCTAATGATGGCAAAGCGGAATTTTTTAAGAACCTGGAAGCAAGTCTGCTGGAATACTTGGATTATAAAATTATTTTGATGGGGGATTTGAATGGAGTTGCATCTACTTTGATGGACAGAACTCAGAGATCAAAGGTTACGAACTCTGGCAGACTACCGAAGACTTTCTTTGATCTAACTGAAAAATTTGATCTGTCAGATATATGGAGAATTAGAAATCCAATGGAAAGAGACTTCACTTTTTTTCAGATGCAAACCAAGTATTTTCGCGAATGGACTATCTATGGATATCCAGAGACTTGGTTCCTAAAGTGACAAAAACGGAAATTTGCCCTAAAACTTGCTCGGATCATAATGCAGTTTCTATGGACTTGAAAATGTTTGTTCAGGGTTCCTTCAGATGGAGAATGAATGACAATTTGTTGAGAAATCCATCAATTGTAAATAAGGCCCAAAAAACCC